GAGAGAGAGAGAGAGAGAGAGAGAGAGAGAGAGAGAGAGAGAGAGAGAGAGAGAGAGAGAGAGAGAGAGAGAGAGATTGGAATGTACAAGTATGGAAGTTTGAACGTAAGGCTGGAGTGCAGGTCTTGCATGCTATTTAGCGGCAATTGTGTGGAAGGTAAACTTGATGAAAGTTTGAATGCTAAGCTGGAGTATAGGTCGTGCATGCTATTTAGTGTTTATTGTGCGAGGGTAAGCTGGATGAAAGAGAAAAGGAAGTAGGTTGCTGAAATCTTGGTCAGAAACTCGTCCATGCGTGGCTGTGCAGTATCTCATGTTCTTTTTGTGCCGTTCTCTTGTGTCTGCATGTTTGGGGACTGTGTGCATGGAGTGTGGGGCTTTGTTTGCGGCCGAGGAGACTGACATTTTTCTCTTGTCAGATATGACTATGAGGTGAGGAGCCAGCGAGAACGTTGTGCATGCCTTTGGGTGGTTATGAAAGCATGTGTACCTCCTCCTCTTTCCTTTGTGTAGTTGCTGCCCCGTGGTTCATGCAAAGGAAACCTTGGGCATGTTCCGAAAAGCATTCGAAATAACACCTGGGGCCCTGTATAAATGGACTTGAATGTCATCAGCACAGTCCAGTTGTGCAAGCAGCGATCGCCTATTGGGGAGGTGGTCCTGTCCATCATGCCTTTTGACAGAGTCGAGGAAAATCGTGAAAATCTCTGGGCTTGCAAATCTCACAAGTTTCTTTTACACGTTTCACTCAACCTTTTTTTTTTTTTTTTTTTTCACATTTTGATAATATGGGCTACTGCTGATGCATTTACCCCCACAATAAACTGGAGCCAAATTAGTGTCAGAACCCCTGGTTAATACTTCAGCTAAAGAAACTAAGGAAACAGGAAGTACACAAAGGCGATCAGAGAATCGAAGGGGAATTAAAGCAGAACAGGCTAGAACACGCCCTCCTGTGGTCATTACGATCCGCCTCTCTACGCTTTTCAACAGCCTTAACTAGAATCTGGAGAGAAATCTCCCCGAAAAAGAGTCCACGGACTGAACTCGAAGAAAGGAGGTTCTCAGTCAACCACTCTTCGGTTACCCTGGGGCAAAGGATGGAAGCAGGGGCAAAGGATTGGGCACTCGCTAATAAAGAAAACGTTTGAAAACAAGTGGCGTAAATGGGTGTGCCCATACTATCTGAGGAGCTTTGGAAAGTGGCTCGCAAGTGCAACGAAGAGACAAACAGCTGGAAGACAGCAGAATAACTAAGAGAAACCTCAAATGGATGCCATCACCTGGCAGACAACCTCCAACATATGAGTTAAAGCGCCTCACTCCACTACTCTCCACATGCACAAAAGACAAAAAATATGGCGGTGTCTTTCCATGTTCTGGAGGAGGATTGAGTCTCATTTTGCACATTTGGAGAGTAGTGGAGTGAGGAGGCCCAAACTCAGAAAAATTCACATGGAAATCAGGTGAATGCGAGGTCTAATTACAATCAACCAAAGCTTGCGAATTCTCTCACAGGCTGTCAAACGGCTCTCGTCACGCTGTTTTTTAACACTTTTACAGTTTTACAACTTTTACTACCTTAAAAAAATCTAAACTGGAACGTGGAGCAGGTGATCCAAGATTCATTCCTGCTGAGGAAAGAGTTCTAGGCTGTAGTCCTTGGAATATTTTCGAAGTAGCCACAAAGCATAACTGATTTGGCATCGGACCTGGCTGAATGGGAATGGCAGCCAGCACCAGGGAAAAAGGAACAGATCCCACATGCCTATCTACGGCTACTCACTTAAACCACCAGTACTTCTTTTGACCCTTCCCTTGCCGAGCCTGGAAACAACTTACCAATCAAATCATCAGGCACTTCGCAACTCCTAACGTACCTGCCTGTCTAGGCCTATTGCCCTACTATGATTGCCAGCCTACCCTACACTAACCTACCTAATACACAGGCCTAATCCGGCCTGACACCGGCCTCTTCGACCGATTGGAACCAAGGTTCCATGTTACCCCTGGTACTCTCCACCACCCTCCAGTCCTATATGACCTCCTGCAGCCCAACCCACAAAAGGCACTCTTTTTCGTTCCCCAAAGGGACTCGTTTATTTCCACTGGAGTTCGAACTCGGCTCTGTATTTCAACAGTCCAGGGGTGTAGCAACCAACTGAGCTAGGCCGGTTGGTAGCCTCAGCATCTAGTGTCCGATCTATCCTATCGATTTCTGGATTTCTGGGGATTCAAGATGTTCTGACAGTCGAAGTGACTGAGAGGAAAGGGGATTGAAGGCCAAGCTGATCGTCAATCGTCCCATCAAGGAGTAATCAATGGTGTTCAGTTGGGTCCGTTGGCCTCAAAAGACAGAACGTTTAGCGCACCCTGACGTATGTTTCTTCAGACTTGACAGGGAAGTGGACTGAATCCGACTGATGCTCCGCCTTTGTTTTTGTTTTTTTTTTTTTATTTTCCCAGAATGCGTAGATTGTTTCTCGAAGGAACTAAAAAATTGTAAGAGGCTTTCAATGCCATGCAGCAAAACGGCCGGCCGTCTTGTTTGCCAATGGTCACTGGCACTCGCTGGATTGACAACCCTTGTCCCCATGCTGACATAGGAGGATGAGCAATGGGTTGCTGGAACCCGCTGCCAGTCGCTGTCATAGCTGCCACCTGCTGCCCCACTTTTCAGCAGTATTGAGCTGTGGCTGAATGGATGCTATGAGGCCAGTTTTTTCTCATAGTTTCGAAAGCGATGTGGCATCAAAAACACATCATAACGGTTGAGTGCTTCTGACTTGTTCGTTTGTTTTTGCAAGTAGTTTCGAAAAGCGATGTGGCATCAAAAACACATCATAACGGTTGAGTGCTTCTGACTTGTTCGCTTGTTTTTGCAAGCGATGTGTGGTTTGTTTTGTGTCTCACTTCATGGGCTGTCGTTTTACAATTATAAAAATCTATCTCACTCTTTGAATGGACTCCCAGATATTTCAGGTTCACACATGCCCCTTTCCTCCTCAAAAGCAGGGAGTATGCCATCGTGCTTCTTCTTGCGGGAAGGGGAATGGAAGCGTAGCCTTATGTCTGTGGCATTTTCCGGTCTGGATGTATGTAGACTTCGGCGAAGTCCAGATACGTCGAGGGGGTAGGGTGTTTTCGGAACGTCGTAGCCCTGATGTTATAAAAATTTGGGCCAAAAAATGGAGTTTCAATTTCGTTCAAAAAATATAAAATGTCCGTTTGGATGAAATGGCAGTTAAAGAGTTCAAGTCTGTCTTCCGTCTGCACCTTGCTCAGGCAATGATACTTCCCACCTTGCTCAGGCAATGATACTTCCCACCTTGCTCAGGCAATGATACTTCCCACCTTGCTCTTCGAGAACTTGGGTCTTCCTCTTCCCTACCTGACAAGTCCCTCGTTAGACAAAAATTCTTGCTTTAGAAGCCAATCTCTTACCATAGGCAAAGGGAAGGCAAAGTCCCTGCCGACGACTTCCTTCAGTGAAATGCTAGAGAATGTACTATATACTATATATAGTATATAGACTATATGAGGGGTCCTTTTTGTTTTTTTTTGGTTGTTGTTGAGAAAATCCACAGGAGAATGTACTAAATAGCCTATATGAGGTTTCCAAAAGAAGAACCAATAAGGAACTGCCTGGCATTCTCTACTAGCAAAGAGATCATGGGGATCGAAGTTGTGGTGTCCTGCTTCTGAAACACACATGTTCGAGATGTTGCCTTTCCTCCAAAGTGTGGAGCTACCACCACGCATCCAGCCATTCAATCCTGTAACCCTCTGCATGTCCAGCGTTTCGCTTAGCAGCAAGCATATAGCAGTTAGATGCCACTATGCTTGTGCAAGATTTATAAGGGGGAAAGAGGACTGTGGCCGGGGCAACGAGGGGAGAAGAGCTGAACCAAAAGAGGGACGGTTGTTGGCTTACCGGGTAGGTACGGATTCATACAGTCATCGTGCAAATGTGCTCTATCTCATGGGACGTGGTAGCTGAAGACGGTGACTGAAACAATGACGAAAATGAACTGCAGCACATGGTCAGATGGCTATATTGCTTACCGAATATTGCGTACAATGTACGTGGTATATGAAGCGATGGGAGGCATCTTTTTTTATTTTTTTTGGAAAAAAAAAAAAAAGACAGGCCCTCTTGGGCTATATTGCTTACCGAATATTGCGTACAATGTACATGGTATATGAAGCGACGGGAGGCATCTTTTTTTTTTTTTTTTTGGGAAAAAAATAAAAAAAGACAGGCCCTCTTGGGCCCAGTGTCTCTATTCCAATGCAATTGGAAGCATCTCATTGAGAGAGATTTTTTTTTAATTTTTTTTCCGGAGTTTCGTGGATTGCCCGTATGTGTGTGTTGGTTGGTGTTCTTGGCAATGTTGGGGGTGTAATTAAAAAATATATATATATTCTTTTTTGCATGTAAACTTATAAAGCCTAATAATAAAGGTTCACTAGAATTATCATTTTACGACGTCTACTTTGACGAGGTTTGATCTTATCTTGTAACAGAACTCTGGATTATGGGCATATAATCAACGCCGGATTTGTACCACCCGGCCTACCTCAGTTGGTACACCCATGACTGTTGAAAGACAGGCCCGAGTTCAAATCTGGTTGAACTAAAGCGGGGGGGGGGGAAAGGGGAAGGGGGGGGGGGGGTTGCGCGGGGGGATAAGATAAACACTGGATATATCCTTTGATGATTGATGGGATACCATTACAGAGGAGACAAAGCAGTGAATTCCCCAGGTGTGGAGAAACTAAGTGCTGAATCTGCTGGTGCATGAATCTGCTGGTGCATGAAATGGTCCATCCTTGCTGGTTGAATTGTGGGTTGTTTTAGGATGACATAATCAAGAATACGTTTAATGTGCTCCGCATGTTTGTGGTGATTTATGGTCCTCGACAAGCGCCAATCGAACTGGTAAGTCTTCCATCAACTTGCCCTTCACATTGAATGCAGAAAATCTCAGGGAACACTTGACTTGAACTCTTAGCTAATGGGAATTGAAAATTGACGATGGTCCGGTGGGATTGAGTTCATTGATTGCTCTAGCTTACTGAAACCTGCGCTTGGCTCAAAGTCTGTATTTTGTTTTGAGAAGCTTTGCATAGCTCATTCAATTGAATGTCAACAGTCAACTCATGGACCCAGGCCCAGATCCGAGAAGTCAAAGTCAACACAAGATTTCCTGGCCGTCAATCTGGAATGATCTAACAGTGGTCTGCAGGTTCCGGAAGATTCAGGCCTTAAGGAGTCCAGACCGAAACTGGGACAAATTGCATCTGATCCATTGACATTCGGACGATCCAGGGCCTCATGCAGACAGAAGCTGACCCTGGAAAACGCGAGTCAACACTATATAGAGTTGACCTCGCCACTGCTTGGGCATTCAGTCTTGCGAGTTGCTTGCGGCTTCGATGCTGCACGTGAGACTTGAGAGCAGGACGCTAGCACCAGGCGGTCTCGTGGGCGCCAGCCAGATGCTGTAGTAGGAGAGGAGAGAGAGGGGAGGGCAGCCATTGCTGCGACCATAGACGACGGCGAGGTAGTGAGGAGAGAGAGACAGAGTGTGGGAGAGATGTGATGTGGTGTGTACGTACCTGGTCTTGCCTGATGTGCTGCTGTTGCTGATTCTGCTCGCTGCTGAAGGATTGCTCGTCTGCGAGCGGCTGCGCAGTCATCATCCACGTGTCATACTGTGTACAGATTGCGGACGTTGCAGAGGTGGGGAAGCCTGGAGGAGAAGAGGGAGTTGATTGCTACGATATTCTTCTACTTCCATCTGTCTTTTCTTCCGCCTCTCTGTTCTAGTCTGGATACTCTTGACTTGAAGACGTTACACGTGGTAATGAAGGATCATGTATTTCAACGACTTCGAATTGATGGTCTAGCTGGAATGATTATCTCGACATTGCACAGCATTGCTATCTCACGAGATTGCTATCTGATGACATGATTGTTTGACGAGACTGGGCTCATTACAGGAGTGCAAAGAAGGAAAAAAAGTTGAATTGTCTTCTCTGATTGGAGACCTTCATCGTCCCTCCTTTACTTCAGTCTCACATGTGGTCATGCCAGTTTTAACTTGCAAGCATTCTTGTTCTGTCATCACCACATTGCTCCATCCAGTTTTCTTTCATTTTTTCAGGCATGGGATCTTATCGTTTTCAGGAATATGAGTCCATGAATGTTCACACAAAAAGAGCCCTGTGAAAGGCTCCAATTTTTCAGTGCATGATGATGATGCTGATGCCGCTGCTGCTGCTGCTGCTGCTGCTGCTGCTGCTGCTGATGCTGCTGCTGCTGCTGCTGCTGCTGCTGCTGCTGCTGATGATGATGATGACCAGAGTCACCCTATGGATTGGACAAGTGTGGAGGGTGATATGAAGAGGATTGATGGCGTGGATGATGCTGGTTTTGCAGTGATGGGGACGATTATCATGGATGACGATGACCGTTTAGCGATGCCAGGGAGGGCATGTGCCATTGCCAAAGTCCTACTGTCTACACCCAAGTAGAACGCCCGATAGCCATGCGGGTGCTGAAACATAGATTGAAGTGTCTTATACTGCATACGGAGACATAGTAATCCACAACACATGTAATGGAAACTCAAGGAAAACATGATGCAGATTAGGTGAGTAGGGCGTGAGGGTGATAATGGGCAGATGGGTTCTATGTGGGGAAAAGGAGGATGTGGCCGATGGGGGAATTTCTACACATGGAAAGGGGGGGCGGGGGGGGGTGGGGTTGGACTTGCCGGGCAATGACTGGGTACCAAGGGGAGTCTCCCGATTGCCTGGGTGCGTCTGCCCCTCCCCGCCCCCTGACTGGGGTTCTGGATTTTGTTTTTCCTTCCTGCTCTCTCCATATATTCATGTTGTTTTTCTGCTTGCCGGTGACAAGCAACCGGACTGGTGCCCCCCAGAATAGAGGGAAAAAAAATAAAAAAATAGAAAACTCATTGCCGTATCTCGCCCTGAAAGTTGCACCAAATACAGCTGTATCGACCGGGCGTTCTATCCGGGTGAAGACGGTACTGCAAATGATGATGCTGATGCTGAGAATGATGATGACAACGATCTTGATGATGTCGATAATGTCGGCAAATTGCCGCTGTTGCTGGTGCCTCTGTCACAGACTCACGGTGGCTGCTGTTGTTCGGTTTTGATGATGGTGCTGGTTATGGTGGTGATGATGTCCTGATTCGCCTGTTGCTCATGGAGAGATCATCCCTGTTGATCCATGCTCTCACTACCGTCTTCCCGTAGGTAGAATGTATGGTCATTGTGCCTGTATTTGGGGCAATTTTCAGTCTAGAAACAGCGATAACTACCGTGCGTTCCATTCGGGGGCAGATGGTGGCTGAGTGAGGGTTTTAAAGTGGGGATCCCTTGCAGAAGGGGGACGTTGGGAGTCCTTGTGCACTCATGTGCAAACAAATACCACACCAGTGCTGTCGCCCTTACTGATCGTGTTTTCTTTTTCTGATGGTCTTACTGACCTGAAAAATGCAATTGACAGAATGTGTCGATGATGATGATGATGATTATGATTATGATGATGATGATGATTATGATGATGATGATGATGATGATAGTCATTGCTGATGATATGGTGAGAATGATGTGTGCAACTGCAAAGCGAGTTCAAACTTCAAAGTGAAAATGATGATGAATCAGGTGCAGTTAGAGTGCTCACTCTGCAGCTTTGACAGACCATATCTTTTGCAGGTAAATCACATGTTTGTTTCCATAAGCAGGCGTGTGTTGTTAACACAGGTCTAGTCTATCGCTAAACTTCTCAGAACTATCATGGAAATGGATGGATTGACACAATCCTCAACTATGGGCATATGTTTTTCTCATTTCCAATATGTCCAAGAGCATGTGAAGCTGGGGGAAGACGGAGAGGATGGACGGAGGGATGGACGGAGGGATGGATTGAAGGGATGAATGGAGGGATGGATTGAAGGGATGAATGGAGGGATGGAGGGACGGAAGGATGGGTGGAGGGATGGGTGGACAGATGGACGAGTGATTGAATGGATTAGATGGTAGATGGATGGATTGATATATGTACGGGTACATGGATGGATAGATGCATGAATTGAATTGAGCAATTGTATTAAGAAGATGACCTGAAACGTTGGGTTTTGACATGTGCATGTCGTGCCATGGCTGTCCTTTCTGATAGGCAAAGCTCATTGGTGAAACTGAGAGAAGATATCATGCAATGATTTGCCAATTGGAACCTGATCTTGCTTCGAAATACAAGAAGAGGTGCATGGAAGCTACCTTGGAAGGTAATTATCACACACTGGCACTCTTCACAGAAGGCAATAAATGATTTGAAGGGAGAAAAGGGACTAGGAGAAGAGTGAAACCCCCTCCTTGCCTCAGCACTCCAGTGATATAGGTATCAGAAGTCAGCAAATCAATGGCCTAAGCGGTATAGGAAATCAGCATATCAATGTGGGGTTTATTGGATGTGCAATTTGGTGTTGTAGATGGAGAGGACAAGGGTAGATTTACACATTTCATCAGTTATGAAGCATTCTGGTGCAGTATTCTTGTTCATAGATCATCTAGTGTGGATGGTGTATGTTGCTTTCCCCTAGGTTGTAATCGTAGCGGTTTGGGAATGGGCATTACCATCACATCTATCCTCCTGTTCCTCCTTTGCAACTTTGCGACACCTGCTTCACAATCACGAACCCCTGTTCAATTTAGTCCCCAAGGACTTCCCATGTCTTTTCTTTCTGGAGTTGGCAGAGATTGCATCCTCCCTCTCCCCTGCTCCTCCACAATCTCATCGGTACACACAGCTCACCGTTCACAGAATCCCGCAGCCGCTTTGGACACTGAGGGTGATGCACCAACGCCAATGTCCAGTCTTCTGTGTTGTCTGGGTTAGTGACAGACTGACACTCCACTTGGATTAATTTGGATCGTTGCAGCCGATTATAGGTCGAGATTTTGGTACACGGTTCTAGGGGCTGACTTTCACAGGTCAAGCCTCCTGACGAGTTGGTGAAAGCCTGATTCATTCCCCCATTTTGTTGTCCTCTTCTACTTCTTTGTTTTCTTTTTTTTTGTGTGTGTGACCTCTTCTCCCTTTCGTCCTATGGTTGTTCTTGGCTGCCACCACCCACCCATATTGTTAGGGAGAAGAGGGGGGCACACATAAAAAAGAAAATAAAGAGGTAGAAGAGGACTTCGTTATCTCCCTGTCGAAGGGTGTTCACTGAACGGGTTTTGAGTGGCAGTGCCAAGGGCGCCCGTGCTGTGCGTCTATGGCGGCCATGCGGCTGGAGTGTGTGTTACCTTCCTGCGACGGATGTTTCTTTGTCACGTTCGGGTATTCTGTCCAGTCCGGGTGGGTGAATAGTCCCCCATTGGTCTATTCTGTCCGTTGTGTGTGGGTGAATTCTCCCCCGTTTATTTTGGTTCAATGCGGATCATAGCTCGGAACGTTGGTATGGATCCAGCCTCCTGACTAGTCTTCGAAAGACGTTTGGTGTCCTTAGGGGAAACACATTTGTAGCACAGACGTAGTCCTGAGAGCTTCGTGTTGTTCCCGACCCGTGCCAGTCTTTGGAGCACGGACATTCTCCCCTCTGTGGTGAGTGGACGCCACGTTTGTGCAATCAGACTCGACTTAGTCACACTTCGACATGCATGCAAACAGCGATACAGCAAACTGGCCACATGCGCCCACACAGTACTCGAAGATATCGTAACCAGATAAGAGTTCTCTTTCCACTGGCTATGGCGACTGTGCGCCCACACAACTCGCTGTTCACACTCGAGATCACCCTGGATGTCCCACATGCAACACTCAGTGTTTATACGCAACACACACACACACACTATACTACAGCTATGGCAGCTCTAGCCGCCACTACCCTATCGCTGCACTACACTTCTCTGCCCACTTCGTCTTCGGGCGCACTGCAGACCTCCTTGCACAAGCTGCTGAGGCAGCGCTTCCGCATGGCATCTGCAGGAATGAATGAATGGCTGGACGCAGCCTCTTGATTTATACTTCTGCGCTGCGTTGGTCTGCCCTGTATCCCTTGGCCCACGATGTGCACACAGTCCCAGACGGCACTTGCTGAACAGGACCGGACTGACTAACTGGGACTGTTGACTCAGCAAGGTGGTCTACCACCACTTGACCACTTGCCTCTGTTGAACGCAGGCTAACTCCGAAAGGCCACTTCTAGAAGTCTCTAACTTGGCCTTTCGGTACTGTAGCAGCTACGACTTTGCCCTTTCAGGTAAGTAGCAGCTACGACCTTGACCCTTCAGGCATCAAACACTGCGACTCCGGAACTGTCTAGACTCCTACTCTACAGGTCTACAGCTCGATTCCCTTCTACCCGGTGACCTACGACAATCTACCTACCACTGGCGTTCCTACAGGTCGCGGGTTCAAGTCTACGGGTTGACACTGATACTGTACACAGGTAAGATGGGGAACTAGGGATCGAGCCCTGGGATCTGCATTCGCTACTGCGAACGGGTGAATACCGTTTCACTCCCGCCGGCCTAAATTCGAGGTCCTCCGATAAAATTTCAGTCCAAGGCAGGACCTTTACCCCTTTGCTGTCTCTCATAGGCCCGGACTATATCGGGAACTGTCTCTAGAAGTTCAGATCTTGTAAACCAGCGGTCGTCTTCGGGTTCCTGATAACTAAAATGAACCTTATACTGTTTCTGCGGACGACCCCTACCTCCAGTTCTAAATACGTCTTCAGCCACTATGCCATCGATGTCATACCTCCCATCCATATCGGGTGGAATCATAGATCAACGGGATGGAAACTGATCACTTGTCTGACAAGGTAGTAACTTCGATGCATGGAAAACTGGGTAAGTGTGGAGGTGTGCTGGTAGCTCTATGGTGTAGGACGGTCCATCTTCGCCGCCCTTAACTTCCAGAACAGGCCACGGCCCTCTATATGTGGGCAGTAACTTCTGCGAGATGTTCTCCTCAGGTGCAAACTCTTTAGAACTAACCCAGACTAAGTCCCCTACTTGAAACTGTGAAGGGCGACCATGTTTGTTCGCTTGTTCTATCATCCTATGATGGGCTTTCCTGAGGTTTTCTACAACAGTAGCCAGTTCTTTCTCGTGCTGTACAGCGAACTCCCTGGTCCCGGGCGGCAATCTGTGAATCTGATCCCGGTTGAGTCCCTCAAACGGTCTGCGCGGTCTAAAGGACTTGTGCAGTTCGTTGGGAATGCGGCATGTAGACAGATGCACGCTGTTATTGTAAGCACTAGCTACTTTGGGCAACATCTCATCCCAGTTAATCTGATCTGGCCTAATATACATGCGCAGAACTTGCTGTAGGATCTTGTTCATTTGCTCTGTCTGACCGTTAGTCTCTGGATGGCGGCCGGACGACATCAACAACTTAGACCCATATACTCCCATGAGTTCTTGCCAGCTCTGGCTAGTAAAGCGACTATCTCTATCGCTAACTATAGATAGTGGGATTCCGTTCTCACTCACCCAACAGTCAAAAAATCTCTGTATGACTAAGTCAGTACGTGCCTCTGAAGGCAAAGGGACAAAAACTGCGTACTTACTAAAACGGTCAACTATGACCATGACTTGGCTCTTGCCATGCCTACTCTTGACGTGGGTGTCCATGAAGTCTATGGACACTGAGTCTCCCGGCTGATCCGGAATGGGTAAGGGTCTGAGAAGACCCAACGGGGCACGCGTAGAAGTCTTGTTACGCTGGCAGACTTTACAACTGCGAACATACTCTACGCAGTCATTCTTCATTCCTGGCCAGGTATACGCGCGCATCAGATTGGCCAAAGTATTTTGCCAACCGAAATGACCCTCTGTGTCGTGACATTCCCCCAGAATCAGATTACGGATCTCTTCGCTATTGGGGATGCACAACCAGTCAAAAACATTAGTCTTCTCAAAAAGCAACCCTTCAGTAGTGCGGTAGTTCGGCTCAGTCTCTGGGGCCTCCTTGACTCGCGTGAGGAACTCGCTATAAATAGGGTCCTGCGCGTAGGCTTCTCTAACCTTCTGTTGCAGATCCTTCCCTATATCGAGGTATTGTACTATTGCCCCAAAGTAATCAGCTCTTCTACTCAGAGCATCCGCGACTACGTTATACTTCCCCTTGACTGGCTTGAGGTCAAAGTCGTACTGATCTATCTCTGCGGCCCACCTAGTAAGCTTAGGTGTCATCTTGGCCTGCGTCTTTAACCACTGTAACGTTTCATGGTCAGAATA